CACCTGGCCCATGGTCAGAGGGATTATTTGATTAACCACAGGAAGGAGATGGCATTCAAGAAGGAGGACAACAAGAAGAACAAATGGGTAAAGCTCAAGGAGAAGAAGCAGAGGAAAATAGACAACAAGATATACAGGGAGTTTGAGTTGGAGAATGGTATGGAGGAGGGTGCAGCTCAGAGCTCTAAATAGCTTTCTTTTCTTATCTTGTTCTGTTCTGATTGAAGTGTCCCTTTGCCCCTTTGTTCACATCTTGTGCTTCGCATTTTAATCACCACTCTTCCAAATGTCTTGGTTTGTCAGTTTAACCCGCCTGCATTCATTTGTAGTCTACAGCCATTTTAATTAAGTCGACCTGCCAGGTGATAATGGTGGAGGGTGAACGGTGGACTTTGAGGACTCCAGTGCTTAATGAAACAGAATCAGGGGTGCTCAAATAGGGGGTAGGAGGAAACCCCAGACCAATCGCATGAGTTTCAGACCCCATCGATGGTCGACCGAGCCAGGCTGCGACCCGACGGAGATCGGTGGAGGGGGAACGGTGGACATTGGGGGGTTCGGTGCTTAACAAAACAGGATCGCGGGTGCTGGAATAGGGGGTAGCAAGAACCCCCGGACCGATCGCATGAGTTTCGGACCCCATCGATGCGTGATCTCTGCCTGCCAGGCCCGGCGGGACGAAATCGCCCGCGGGGGGCCGGGGTGCGAGAATGGCGGGTCGGCGCGTGCCAAGGTATGCCTCAGCGTGCGCGTAGGCCCACCCCCAGATAGTCAGTTAAGCGTGCCGTTGGTAATTCCCGCGAGCATCGCTAGGCCGGCCCAGCGACCGTTCCATATGGGTAGGGCCACAGGAGGACAAAGTATGAATGAAGGGGACATTGCACATACAGATCTAAGGGCTTTTGATATGTGCATAAGAAAGAGTACTGTATACATCAATTGGAACATTTATACACCCAATGCTATCACTTATCAGACACAACTCAGGACTCGTGTCCTGCCATGCATAGCAATGGCACTCTAGTGACAGGTTAAAGCCGTCAGATGGCTGTTAAGACTGGCTCGCAGCAGCAACCCACCACCCCCGAACCGGTATGATCCTTATCTTCCAGAGTGCAGGATGCAATGGCATTATATAAGTATCATACCGACATCATCAACAAGACACTAGTAATACAGGGTAAAGTCGTCAATAGTCATCACACCTCTACACACCGGTATACCACCCGTCATCGCCTGACGTCGACTACACGGGACTGTCGCGCTTCTCCTCGTCCACCCTTATACTGTCCGGTCTCGAACTTCCTTTGCTCTCGCCCATAGAAGTCGGTAGTTGCTGCACATCATCGTCATCGGCGATGGCCTCGTCACGTCCTGCGCCCTCCTCGAACGCCGCCTTGTGCTTCTCGAAGTGCGAGCCGTGGTTTCTAGGATGCAAGATCAATACCCATCCATCTCACATATGAATGAATACAGGAAACGTACTCGGGACCGATTATCGTGATGACGATCACAAACGCGGCGACGACGCCGATGAAGATACCTTGCACAGTGGCGTAGTCGGCGACTTCAGTCGGCTGGCCGTTCTTGATGATGGTCGTTCTCAGGTTGTCGCCGCCAGCTAGACGTGCACGTCAGCACGGCCTTGCATCAGTAACGCGCGAGATCACTCACTAGCTTCAATTTGCGCAGATGCCGACGAAACCATCTACGAGAGGCGCCTATCAGCCACGCACCACGAAACGATACGCACGATACTCACGTTACCAAGCTGGTACGCGACACCAGGGAAGGTGGCTCTGAACGCGGGCGGTGACATCTCCGCGAGCTGGATGGGGATTACGCCCCAGGCGCCCTGGACGCCGAACTGGATGCAGAATGCGCCCGCGGAGAGGGCACCGAAACCCGAGGGGATAATCCAGAGTGGGATGAACGCGCCAATGAGGAGCACAAAGATGCTGCGACGAGACGTTAGTCGGACGCGCAGTCGATCGGGCGAGGGACGTACACAATTGTGAGCCTACGGCCGATGTACTGACTGAGCCAGCCGGCAATGGCGCCTCCTCTGACGCAGGGAATCAGTACACGCCGTAGGACGCCGGCATCTGGACGACTCACGCAATAGCACCGCAGTTTCCGATAATAGTGGCGACCGTCGCGTTGTGCGGGGTGAAATTCTTGGATGTTTGCAGGTACGTCGGGTACAGATCCTATATCGGACGGGTATCAGCAAATGGACGCCACAATCAGGCGATACAGACGTACCTGAGAACCATGGGACAGGAAATTGAAGCCGCTCATTAACAGAATGGCGTATATACAGAGCAGCCAGTGGGTCTTGAGCATCTCCTTCGTTTCGCGCAGGAATATCCGGGTCTTTTCCTTCGGCGTCTTGTGCGTGCCATGCAGCCTCTCCGCCTCCTTTGCGCGAAGGAAGTACGCGCTCTCGGGGAGGAGCGCCCGGATGAAAGCCGCGAACGCGCTGACCCCGGCACCGGTCCAGAAGAGACTCCTCCACCCAGCGCTCACCGATGGGACCAACTGCAAGTTTACGACCGCGGCGATGAGGTAGCCGACGGCGTATCCCTGCTGCACGACACCGCTCGCAAGCCCACGGACCTCAACGGGAAGGTTCTCGAGGGCGGTAGAGGCAGCCAAGCCCCATACACCGCCCATGCCGATACCGAAGAGCGAGCGGACGGCGAGGAACTGAGGGTAGGTGTTGACGAAGCCGGAGCCGAGGGAGAGGACGGAGACGAGGAGCATGTTCCAGAAGAGAGGCCATTTCCGGCCGTACCGATCAGAGATGATACCGAAAATGACCGCACCAAGGGAGCGGAAGAGGAGCGTGAGCGTGATAGCAGTCGTCTACATCGGCGGTTGTTTAGAAGGCGTCATGATTGATAAACTACGTTAACTCACGATATCTTTCTGTGGCTTGTCGAACTGGTGCGCAAGATTCGTAACGCTGAGCGAGACGCTGAAGAAGTCGATCGCGTCGCACGTCCATGCCAGCCAGCTGCAGCCGCGACGAACAGGCGCCGATGAGAAGAACCGCGCCTGTCAAACACACTGGCGTACTCACCCCGAAAAGAAGTGCGCCCACTGCACCCACGACAGCGTCGCGAGCACGGTCAGCAGCGGGCGGCCCTGTGCTCTCTGCTCTTTCCTGGGGACCAAGTTGCGCAAAAAGTACGGCGCCATCGTTGTCGGCAGCAACGAGCTCGGTCAAGGACAACGCTGGGGAGTCAGAGGGTGCCGTCCGCGATACGCGACGCTTTAATAGGCAGATCTCATTTCAGGAACAACTGCCAATGATTGGCTGATGCGGTGGGGCCCCGCGGCACCGGGCACTTTATTTCTGCCCTTCGGCTGTCCGAGGACCCCGGCATATGGGTACTGATGTTTGATCCTAAGTGCCCGATTTTCGGCCCTTATGGCCTCACACATTTGGACCGGATATGTCCGCCTCTAGGATCCGGTCAGCCCAAATTGGGCTGCTTATGTCCGCATAAGTGACCTATGCTCGGGCGTCCCCCGGTGTGTCCGCCAAACGGATCCAACCTCGAAACCGGCACACGCCCAACGCTGCAACGAGTAGATCGTGACATGATTACTCCGGGATATTGTATTTCAGTCTTCCTAGGATCCACCACTGTTTCCAAAGCTTGCATTTCATTCACCGTTGCTGAGGATATACCTGGATATACACGAGACGAGCTGACAGTTGACATAAGAGACACCACTCAACCTAGTACAAGGACTACTGGGTGTGACACTTCGATGACTCCGTATGTCCGCCAGGTGATCGGACACCAAGACCGGCAAGGCCCTTGTGTCCGCCGTGATATACCGGACATGGACCGAAATTTTGGGCTTTATGTCCGCCTAAATATCCG